TAAAAGGTTTATGAAAGATTCCTAAACATTCAATTGGAAATAATATTTCAGGCAATTCTTGGTAGCTCCTTCAGTTTGAGTTGTTGAATAGAGAGGGCTATTAACTCCTCTGTCCCCCAAACCCATTGGAAGTTGAAATAAGTGCCTTAGCACTGAGCTATAATCCCAGTCTTATTTTTTAAGACAGAGTCTTGCTAAGTTACAATGTTGGGCTTGAACTTGTGGTTTTCCTGCCTTAGATTTCCAGAGTGTGGGGATGACAGTCACATGTCAACAACATACCTGGATCATCTGTTAAATGTTTTTGCATGTTTTCTTATTGTCTGCAACAGTCAAAGTGAGTCTGCATTGTAAATTCTTCTCTGTTTAGAAACAAATTAATGAGGTGCAAAGTGTCTCATTAGATGATTTCCTTAATTATCTTGTACAAATCATTCTCCTTTACTTTGAGGCACTATCAAGAAATTACAGGATTTGGTGGATAAAATTTGAAACTTATGTTAATGCAGAGTTTGTAGTGATAAATAGCCTTTATAATTGTTTTTAAGGGTGTTATGACAGAGTGCAGCTGTCCACACCTGTAGTCCCACACCTGTGCATGGAAGTCGTAAGGCAGGAGGATCACTTGAACCCAGGGGTTTGGAACTTATGGAGGGGGTATTGTTGCATGAGTTTCTTTTCTGGAATTTAATGATGAGCTGCCGAATGATGATATCCTACTAACTGAGCAGTCAGTAGTTGGTCCTTTGGTTGCATATGATGGAATAATTGTTTCAAGATGGGACTGATGGCAGCTAATGAATTGAATTCCTATCAGTGAACTAATTTTAGTTGATCTATACTAAAATATGAAAAAATTTATTTTAGTACCAAACGATTCCCTGGTTATGATTCTGAAAGCAAGGAGTTCAGTGCAGAAGTACATCGGAAGCACATCATGGGTCAGAATGTTGCTGATTATATGCGTTACCTAATGGAAGAAGATGAAGATGCTTACAAGAAACAGTTCTCTCAGTACATAAAGAACAATGTAACTCCAGACATGGTAAATTTACCTAAAAGTACTTGTGTGTTAGTTTATATAAACAAGTTTGATGGTTTACATTTATTTCAGGCTAGCAGTTGAAAGTTGCATATAGGTATGGATAGATTAACATAGTTGCTGTTAAGGTGAAATAAGAATGTTGGATGAGAGATTAAGCTGTGTAAGCATGAGTATAAACTCATGGTGATGTAGTATAAGCAATGTGCTGTACTTGTCAGTAGGTTTTTAGGACTCTTAGATACTCAAAGTGGCAGGCTTCAAACATTTAAAGCCTTTTGTGCCTTTTATGCTTTGGCTGTTCTGTATTTATACACCTCATCTTGTGGTCATGTTTGTAATGTTTGATACGACGAGTTAGACACTAAACACTAATTTTTTTTTTTTTTTGGTACCGGCGATCGAACTCAGGACTTTGTGCTTGCAAGGCAGGCGTCGGAACCACTGAGCTAAATCCCTGGCCTAAACACTAATTTTGAGGAAGGAAAAAGTCCTTCATGGCAAATATGTGCTGTGTTCTGGACTATAAATACCCCAGGCATAGATAAAGGGAGTCATGCAGATTCTGTTATTAGCACTGCAAGATGTTGCACAAAAGAAGGGAACCATGTTGCAAGACATGGACTTTTAAGACATTGGACCAATTGAAGATTATAGTGCCAGTTTTTGAAATTTTAGTGAAAATGTAGAACACTGATCAGATTATTATTATAACTATGAACCTATATGCAAGTTGTTTGTAATTGAATGTCTTTTCTGTTAAGAGCATTGTAGTTTTTATTAAGAGTGGCTGTGCTTGTAAATTATTTACCTGGCCTGTGCAAGATTTCTTCCTAAGCCATAATCCTGGTCTTGTCATGTCGTAGTTGCTCAAAACATATACTTACAGGGCCTGGGATTTAGCTCAGTGGTTCCACCACCTGCTTTGCAAGCCCAAGCACCTGAGTTCAATCCCCGGTACCCTGCCCCCAAAACCCAAAAAACCCATATACGTACAGTCTGTGTGCTTTCAGATGTTCATTTGTTGATACTTTCCTATACCCATGCTATAGTTAAGCCAGGATTCTCTTTGACTAAAGTACTTTTCAGCTAGCTTGTTTGTTTTGATTTGGGGCTGCATCTGAGGAGCTGGGAATTAAACCCAGAGCCTTGTACATGTTCATGTGCTCTACCACTGGGCTGTAGCCTCAGCCCCTTGCTCATTTTATCTAGGAAAGCCTCTTTCCTTCTGTGTATTTGTCAGTGTCTGATGTGTGTCTACTCTTCCCCCTAAAATAGGACTTAGCTGGGAAATAATCAGCCTTGAAAACTAGAGATCAAAAAAACCAGCTCCAATCAGCCTATCCTTGACTTACCTGTCTTACAGAGTAGCCACCAAGCAAGAGAAGAGTGATGGGAACTAAGGCAAGGATAGCCTGGAGGGGTTGGCATTTTTGAGCCCTGGTTTTCAAGGCTGGTATTTTCTAGCTAGGTCTTATTTTCAGGGAAATAGGGTAACAGGAAATGATTTATACCCAAATTTGTGGCATTATTTACATATATTCTTGTGTTTTCTATTTCTGGAGTCTGTTGGAAGTAAAGAAGTTAACTGTTAAGATGATTGATTGAACCCAAGTCTTTTTTTTTTAATTTATTTTGAGACAGGGTCTTGCTATGTAATTCAAGCTGGCCTTGGACTACTTACTAGTAGCTCAGGCTGGCTTCGAACTCGCAGTGATCCTCCTGTCAGCCTCCCAAGTGCTGGGATACAGGTGTGCGCTACCGTGCCTGGCCTCCATCCTTTTTTAGTTTTTATTTTGACAGGTTTTGCTAAGTTCCTGGGTTGACCTTGAATTTGGAATCCTTTTGCCTTGTCCTCTCAAGTAGCTGAGATTAGAGGTGTTATCCATCATGCCCACTTTGTTAAGGCATTTAGGTAGTTGAGATCCTTGGGGCGCACTGAGGATGGAATCCAGGGAGAATGCTAAGCTGAATGAACTATGTCCCCAGCTCTTTTTTTGTTTTGAGAGACAGCGTTTCGTTATGTAGTTCAGGTTGGCTTTGAACTTACAGTGATCTTCCTGCCTCAGCCTTCTAAGTGCTGGGGTTACAGGAGTGTGCCACCACACTAGGCTGGCCTCAAATTTGGATCCTGTCTCAGCCTTTTGAGTGCTGGGATTTCAGTCAGACTTGTGCACTATGCACAGTACCTTGTTATTCATTAGGGAGCTATAATTGTCACATACAGAAGTTGTAACCATGAATTTTGGTTTTTTTGTGTGTTTTTTTTGGTACCGGGGATCAAACTCAGGTCCTTAGCTTGCGAGGCAGGTGGTGGAACCACTGAGCTAAATCTCTGGCCCTGTAACCATGAATTTTAAAAATGAGTTGTAGAAAAAAATGCCCAATAAAGAATCAAAATTTAGACCTTTTTGCTTCAGGACATGTTATATTACTGGGGAATGTAACAAAAGAATGTAGCAGTTGCTTATTGGCCCCTAGTGTCCTTTCCTTGGTCTGAATGAAGCTGTGTCGGTGTCCTGACTCTTGGCTCTGTATACTTTGCATCTTAACATCTTAAATACTTGGGTTTTAGCGTGTCTTTACTTAAATGAAAGAATTTAGGCCAGAGTTTTTAGAATGAGGAGTGTAGTGTATGTTCTGCAAAATAAAATTTGCTTTAGAGTGACTCAAGTATAGCTGAATTCCTCAGCAACACACAGCTTTTCCTTTAGAGTTGGGTTTTGTGAATAGTGTCAGTTCACACCAAGTAAGGTAAACATTGGGAATTTGTTAGATAGGTTATGTTTAGGAATTTAAGCGGGGACTAACATTGATTTGGTTTAGTTTCTTTTGAGAATCAGGCTTAGACAAAGCAAGTAGTAGAATACTTTGCCTTAATACAGTAGGGCATATGAAATGAAACCAAGTACTGTTTGCTTTTCTTTGTTTCAGATGGAGGAGATGTATAAGAAAGCTCATGCTGCTATACGAGAGAATCCAGTCTATGAAAAGAAGCCGAAAAGAGAAGTTAAAAAGAAGAGGTATGTGTCTTGCTGTCTTTCCAAGAGAAGTTGGGAGTGGTTCTCACAGGCTGTGTTTCATTTTGTGGGTTAGGCTTTCAGTGAAGTTGTGCAAACTCGATCACTAGCTCTGTGTGTTGTGGCAGAAGCTAAGGGAACCAGGTTTGCTAAAGTACTATGTGGTGATAGGAATGTATTAGCCTCAGAAGCTACTGAGGTTGCCCATTCTTTCCTCATACAGTATAAGTATGAGTTACTGCATTGTAAAATGGCTGTCTAAAAAGTTGGCTTTTTCATATTTCAGTAGATTAAAAAAAAATAACATGCACACTTAGCCATTGTACTATCATTGTTTTTTATTTGATTTCTGACCCTGTGGTAATAGGACAACATCACAGAAGTGGCTGAGAAAGTTAGCCTAAGAATACGAGTTTAGATTAACCCTCATCTGATAATAGTCTGTCATTTTCAACTGAAGTTAATATTCTGTATCCTCTTTAGCTATAGTTTTAAAAAATATATTCCTGTTTTTCTTTTGTTTTACAGGTGGAACCGTCCCAAAATGTCCCTTGCCCAGAAGAAAGATAGGGTAGCTCAAAAGAAGGCAAGCTTCCTCAGAGCTCAGGAGCGGGCTGCTGAGAGTTAAACCAAATTTTCTATGAAGATTTTTCAGATGACAACCAATAAACTTATTCATCAAGCAACTGCTTCTGTGTTAAGCTCTTGTTATGAGAGTCTAAGAAATACACCGAAGTATAAAAGCAAAGGAGTTGACAGGTTTTTTTTTTCTCCAAGAAACAGGTGTAATTTGTTCCAGAAACAACCAACTTGTGTTTTGATTCCTGCAAAGTTCATACCTATTCTTTTTTTTTTTTTTTTGGTACCAGGGATCGAACTTGGGACCTTGCGCTTGCAAGGCAGGTGGCGGAACCATTGAGCTAAATCCCCGGCCCTCCTTTTCTTTTTGTTATCCCTCAAATTGTATGGTATAGCTCTCCCTAAAAGTTTTGCAAGCAACAGACTAATCAGTGATCACTAGGAAATAATTTCTTCTGTCCATTCATTATAACCAGATCACTAATGGGAAGAAAACATACCTCAAAAGTATACAATCTCAAAGGAAACAAAACTGGCAATGAGCGATGGCTTTAAATTTTTGAGAGAAAGCAAATGAAGAGCACAGATTCAGTACATTCGCTTTAACCAGGTAAAACCTCTGAGCAGAAAATAGAAGTGCTTCTAGTTTCAAAACGAGATGTCTCATGTTATGGAGATGTTGAAGGACACATGCCAGATCTGACTATGAAAATATATGGAAGAGGATCAAATATTAAATCTTGGATATCAAGTTTGTGGGAAAAAATAGTCGGTGGGTAAATTTATACGTGTCTTTTAAGAAACAACCCTTTTAGACCACAGGAAACACTGAAAATGGAAAATCAAAGGTCTTTAATGATTTATTTTAGTCTTGCTCTTAACAGTTATCAATTTCCCCATAGCTCAAATTCTGGGTAAGTGGATTTCTGGTGTATGGCCTCAAGATGTCTCTTCTGCAATGCTGGGGCTCAAGCCTGCTAAGCAAGCACTGCCACTGAGATACATTCTCAGCCCAAGGGAGTTTAGTTTATTGTTCTCTTTTTGTGGCACCAGGGTGTGGTACCTTGCACTTGTGAGGCAGGTGGTGGAACCACTGAGCTAAATCCCTGGCCTGAGCCCAAGGGATTTCAAAGGGCTTGGTAGGCTTGGTTGATACTACTCATCCAATTATTATTATTGTTTTAGACCACAAGGGCTTGCTGTGCAGTCTGGGCTGGCCTTGAACTTATGATCCTCTTGCCTCAGCTTCCCTTGAGTGCTGGGATTATAGGTGTGTGCCACCATGCCCCACCCCATCCAATCTGTAGGTTAATAAAAATTTGCCTAATTTCAGCCACTAAAATTGCTAATTGCATATTGTCAAGGAGAATACTTTCTCAAGTTCAAGACCAGGGAATGTGCTCAAACTACCTGTGACATTTGATGTCTGAGATTAAAATTATGTAAGTATAGTACAATAAACCATGCTATTGACTCAACATCTGTTTTATAAAGGAGTAATTTTAATCTGCTTTGCAGTCTTGTTAATGTGCAAACATTACCATGCGAAGACATTACTAAATTTGTATAAATTTTAAACAGCTTCAATGCAAACAATGTTTCCAGCAATGGTATTTTGGCTAATATAAATCCACAAAATACTCACTGTTGATGTTTATGGAATGAGGCTTTTCACAGTTTTTTTTAAAGTCACTCTTCAAGATAGTTACACAGTGAATGGAATTGGCAAATGTAAGGACTTCTAAAAGCAGGAATTGGCACATGGTGGCATTTGCCTATAGTCCCAGCACACAGGCTCAGGCAGGAATATCACTGGAGTCTAGAAGTTTGATACCACCTGGGCAACGGAGCAAGACCCCATCTCAAAAAACAAAAGGAGTGAAATCTTGTGGAGATGTTCATCTGTACTGCCTGCCGTTGCCATACTCCTGTCTATTTAAGATGATGGCTTCTTAGGCCCCAAGAGAAAGGATCAGAAGCCATTCTTTTAAATGTTCAGAATGGATATTCAGAAGTGGTAAGTTTCCTATGATGGTACTTGTTCAAATTAAGAGTCATTTGTATAGGAAATTTTCTTCCACAATAATGTTTTTAGGTTATTTAATATTAAAGAGTGTTCCATTTCCATTTGATTTGCTGTAACTTTGAGAGCAATACAAGAATAAAGCTGCTTTTCTAATTCTTCACGAATTTCACTTGGAGCACCACGCAATAGGTAGTCTTTGAGTAACTGACAGGCTTTTGCCAAGTTTGGTTGTATTACTTCTGAAGTACACTTCATTGTATTTTGATCACAACTAGTTCTACAATCTGTGCCATAGACACAATCCAGGTCAGACTCACAATGGCGATCCTTGATAAGTTCTTTCAGGTTTGTCTCTGGCACAATTTTTCTCATATCCACCATTTTCAAATCATACTTCTCATTATATCCTAGGTTTTTGGCACTAGTATCACACATGAGAAAGTTTCCATAGGGTCCATGGAAGACATCTTCCACAAATTCTAGAAGTCCTATGGCTATTTTAGCCTTTCTAGGCCATGATGGTGTGAACAGCTGATCCATGCTTCTTCTGAACCCAGATGGAATAAAAAGTTCAATGACCCATGGGAGGCTTACTCCATACAGAGAGGTATATTCAACACTTTCCATCACGTAGAGGTCACCGCAGAATCCCATTAGTTTTGGGGTATGTTCTTTATCTTGAAGTATTACCATGAGAAGAAATTCATTTAACTGAAGGAGTGCCCATGCTGACTTTGCTTCACCCAAGGAGACCTGGCCATCTTTGTCTCCATCAGCTACCGTCAAGATGAGATTAACCAGTTCAGAGAGGTTTCCTTGGTCACCCAGTTTTGCCTGTCAAAGACAAGAATCTGGCAATTATACAGAAGGAAAGGAAAAGACCCATTTAACATACTAAGTTGCTGTGTGGGTGTTAACTACCATGCTAGTAATAATCCTGCTACTGACTCCGCATAAAGGAGTTTTATATGTTAAATCTCCAAATGTGATGCTTAAAAAAAAAAATTTTAACTGCAATTACTCCCCCCCCCCCCGCCTTTTTTTTCAGAGACAGGGTCTTGCTATGTAATGCAGTCTGGCCTTGAACCCATCACTGTATCCCCTGCTGGCTACAAGCTCACAGTGATCCTCCTGCCTCAACCTCCCAAGTGCTAGGATTATAAGCATGCACCACTATGCCCAGCTAAAACCTTTAAATGTGTATGTGTGTGTGTTTTTTTCATTTAAGAAATAACCAACCCTAACTCCTTCAGCCCTCTCAGAGCCTTAGGATAACCAAGACACTATTTTTTGTCTTATTTATACATTTACTTCCAATTTTCATTTTAAGGTACATCAAACTTGTAACAATGGTCAAGTGAAAATTATTTTATATCATATTAACATTTATTGTTTCAATAATGGAGGTAAAGTTTTCCCTTTTAAGGTTCTTTGGGAGAAAATAGTCTGAAATGCATGTAAAACCGCCAAAGAAAGCTTTTGTGAAAAAACAGCAAAGCAAATTCTTTTCAACTCTCAACCATTTTCATTTTTGCTTAGTCTTCATATGAGTTTCTTTAATTTGCAATCATTGCACTTATCGGGCTTCTTGTATCAGTTTTAATGTTGAAATTCACAGCAATCTAGACAATGAGCTCCCCCTCACACCTGGACATTATTAGCTATTACAAGTAATGTTAAAGTAAATCACCAACATGTATTTTTTTTCTTTGAATCATTTCCTCAGGAAGGAATCAAAGTATTAAAATGTTAGTAATTTAGGATGGGGTCCTGCCAGTTTTTTTTGAAGGAGAATACACTAGCAACATGAATAGATACACTTACCTTAAAGAGACTGTAGACCATTTCTTTGAACTTCTGTACAGTGGTTCCCCTAGTTGGCTTATCAAATAGCACTATTTCTTTCCTTGGCTCCAATTCAGTTCCAAAATCAAAATGGAGTGCTTGTTCCATTTGACATTTCACAACACCTGGTAGATTATCCCAAATCCCTAAATACATCTTTGTGAAAAAGAACAAGAAGTTATGTATTATACTGAGTAGCAAATCTAAATGGTATACTACTACAAGCTGGGCATGGTGGTGCATGACTGTAATCCCAGAACTCTGAGAGGCTTAGGAGGACTGCAAGTTCATACCCCGCCTGGGCAAGTTAGCAACTTAGTGAGACCCTGTCTGAATACAAAACAAAGGACTGAAGACATACCTCAGTGGGAAGGCCCTGGCTTCAATCCCCAGTTAAAAATTTCCCCCAAAATAAGCCCTAGCATGACTTCTGGATGCTCGTAATGTAAGCCCTACCTACACCCAAAATAAGTCCCAGTTAAGATTGTCAGCCAGACACGCATTTAGTATGTCCATTTCAGTACATGATCTATTGGCTTATAAAATAATATTCATATAAATTAAATGTTATTGACATTAATACTTAACATAATGATATAAATTATAATTATTTGTAAATGTCCAAGTGGAGACTTTTGGAAGAGATGTAAACACCTATGTAAACAGATGAACTCTAGACTTAGTGCTGAATGACCAGTTGGAGTACAGACACAATGCACAAATAACATGTGCACTTGATAATGAATGGACATGATTGTGTCTAATATGAATCTTCATAATTCAGTATGTTGTGTTGTAATGCACTATGAGCAGGCTACATGGAGAAGACAGGCTCATTTAAGGAGAGCTCTTCTGTTGGACATGAGAGGCTGGGGCCAATGGTTCTGCAGGAAATGGGGTTGTAAGAAATTTAGGCCAGCATTTGGAGTTTGGAGAGTTATGACAATGTTCCAGGAGAAGATGACATGAGTATATTTGAACAAATGTAGATTTTTGTACATGAATAAGTGTAGATTTTCATACATGAATAAATATAGATTGTTATACATGAATAAATGTAGATTATTGTACATGAAAAAATAAGACATCCTCTGAAAATAAGCTCTATTGCATCTTTTTTTTTTTTCCTTTGGTACCAGGGATGGAACTCGGGACCTTGCACTTGCAAGGCAAGAGCTAGAACCACTGAGCTAAATTCCCGGCCCCTCTATTGCATGTTTTAAAGCAAAAATTAATATAAGATCTAGTCTTATTTTCAAGGAAATATGGTAGATAGGTAGATATTATCTATAGATAATCTATAGATAAATAGATATAATCATAGATATTATCTATCTATGAAGATTTTTAGGGTCTTATTCCTCTACAAAATACAAACAAGCATCAAAACACTGAGGTTGAGCTGATTTTACTTTTGAACAGCAAATATGAAATATTCCATTTTTTTCCTGAAATGAATTTTAAATTATGAAAGTAATGCAACCCTAAATATATTTTTTGACTAAAATTAGAAGGATTTAAGGAGAAACAAAGTTCTTCCACATTTCATTTCCCTCATCCTACACCCCAGAATCAACCTCTATTAAATATCTAGGTATTTATCAAATGAACATTGCATAATGTTTACTACATCTTATATCCTAGCCAGGGTTGGAGTCCCTGCAAGCAGCACCTGACAGGGCAATGCATGGAGTTGTGAGTGAAGTCAAACTTTCAGTGGAGACCCCAAGAAGACTGGATGCCAGGAACATGAAACATATGAAGGGAAGTTGCAGGGAGCATGGCCATGTGGGCTGCAACCAGCAAGGTCATAGGGGTGGGGCTGCCCAAGGCCTTGGAGCTCACATACCACCACAGTGTGTAATGAATGCTGGACAAGTGGTTGTAGGGTTTAATGTTTTCATGGTTTTGGTCTTGATTTTGTCCAGTTCCTTTTTTCTATTTCCTTTTTCCTCCCTTTTAGAATGGGAATGTTTTATTTGGCGCCATTGTATCTCGGAAGTAGGTAATTTGTTTTTAAATTCTGGTTTTGTTTTTTTTTTGTTTTTTGTTTTTGGTACTGGGGATTGAACTCAGGATCTTGCGCTTGTGAGGCAAGATGTCACTGAGCTAAATCCCCGGCCCTGTGTTTTTAAATTAAAGGGACACTCAGCTGAATTTGCCTTGAGTCTTGGGGGAGACTTTGGACTTGGACTTTTGAGCAATGCTGAGGCAGTTAAGATTGGAATTCTGGGGATGGACTGAGTGTATTTTGCCTTGTAAGATGGACATGAGCCTTTGAAGGCCAAGGGTGGAATGCATGGTTTGGTTAAGTCTCCCCCAAAGCCCATGTGTTAAAGGCTTAGTCCCCAGCTTTACACTACTGGGAGTAGTAGAACCTTTAAGAGGTGAGGCATAGTGGGAAGTCTTAAGTCACTGGGGGTGTGTCCTTGAAAGAGACTGAGGGACACCAGTCTCTTCCTTCTCTTATTCCCACCTGTGAGATAAATGGGGTTCTGCCACCATGCACTCCCATCATGACTGCTGACTCCACACAGGCCCAAAAGCAATGGTGCCAACTGACCATGGACTGAAACCTCCAAAATTGTGAGCCCAAATAAACTTTTCTTTTTAAGTTGTCTATCTCAAGTATTTTGTTACAGTAATGAAAGGCTAACACAGTATACTAATTTTTTACTTAATCTTTGTACCAACTTTACAAGGCAGGTACCACCATTATCTTCATTTCCTGTTGGGGAAACTGAAGCAGAGATAGGTAATAGCCAAAGGCAGCACAGTAGTGGTGATGCTAACATTTGAAACTAGCTTCCTAAGACTAAGAGCTCCCGGTCTTAATCATTTATTCTACTGGCCGGCTTTCTTCAGTATAAAAAATAGGGGGCCAGGGATTTAGCTCAGTACCAAAAAAAAAAAAGAAATAATAAGACTCAAGTGCTCAAATTTTATCAGGCAGGGAAAAAAATGTGGCTTAGTGTACAGCACTGGGCTAACATATGCAAGGCCCTGGGTTCAATCATCAGCACTGTAAAAAAAAAAAGTAAAAATAAACTAAACAT